TGGCAAGTCATCAAAAAAGTCCTCCTCGATACTCTCAATATCGATATCGTCGCCCTGCATATCCGCACCATCACCGTACCCCGACATGTCATCCAACTCCGCTGTCAACGGTCTTTGCTCGGGCGCACCAGGTAGCCTCTGCCCCCTATCTCCCTGCTCTGACGTGCCATTGCCCGCCCCGGCCCCCGCAGGCGCGTCTGATGTACTCCCCCCCCCCCCCGCGCTTGCCGTCTTTGGTCGAAGCCCACACACGAAGGAACAGTTACACATTTGTGAGCAAAGCCCTAACCCCACCGTCGTGCACACGCACGATTTGCATCGTTTAGACCTCCGCNCGCCCTGCATATCCGCACCATCACCGTACCCCGACATGTCATCCAACTCCGCTGTCAACGGTATTTGCTCGGGCGCACCAGGTAGCCTCTGCCCCCTATCTCCCTGCTCTGACGTGCCATTGCCCGCCCCGGCCCCCGCAGGCGCGTCTGATGTACTACCCCCCCCCCCCGCGCTTGCCGTCTTTGGTCGAAGCCCACACACGAAGGAACAGTTACACATTTGTGAGCAAAGCCCTAACCCCACCGTCGTGCACACGCACGATTTGCATCGTTTAGACCTCCGCATAGTGTTCACGAGCAGAACGAAATGCGAGAACTGCCTCCTGTCTCCACGACCAAGTAGCCGGCCCAACCCTTGTATCGAGGTGAACGGGGTGCCATCCCTTGAAAGGGGGTGGGAAAGATGGACGGCTGGCATTTGGGCCAACGCATGGGGCCCTGAGCGCAGGCTGGAAAGCGGCATCCAATACTTCTTGTTCCATTTCCCTCCCACCAAAGAAACTGAAGCGGCTGCGGCACGACAATCACGCGTGCACACGAGAATATTTAGGTGTTAGATATGCTCACCGACGGCTGTTTTCATAAAGTCTCGCCAAGAGTACGCTGNAAATAGTGTTCACGAGCAGAACGAAATGCGAGAACTCCCTCCTGTCTCCACGACCAAGTAGCCGGCCCAACCCTTGTATCGAGGTGAACGGGGGGCCATCCCTTGAAAGGGAGTGGGAAAGATGGACGGCTGGCATTTGGGCCAACGCATGGGGCCCTGAGCGCAGGCTGGAAAGCGGCATCCAATACTTCTTGTTCCATTTCCCTCCCACCAAAGAAACTGAAGCGGCTGCGGCACGACAATCACGCGTGCACACGAGAATATTTAGGTGTTAGATATGCTCACCGACGGCTGTTTTCATAAAGTCTCGCCAAGAGTACGCTGACAACCGGACTACCCTGAAAATGACTCCGCACTTCAATAACCCACAAACGCCCACCTGGGTGAAAAACTCGAACTTTCAAGCCCAGCACCTCCGCTGCCCAGGGTAGGACCGCCTGCTGACTATACTTGAAAGGCCCGCAGTTACTCCGGATAGCACAGAGATAGTACAGGCGGGCAACGTCCGCCGACATGTTCATCGGCCACACACGACCTGCAAGCTTCATCACCATGTCGTGTTCCTTGGTGTCGAAGAGGTCACCAGAACGGTACTCGGCCAGGTACCCGTCAGCGCTCAGGAACTCTTCGCACTTCAGCAGTGCCATACGCATGGCTCCGGTCCGGAGAGCAAGCGCAGCACCCCCGGTGGAACAACGGGTGTTGAGCGCCCCAGATGCAAGGGCGATCCAGAAACACGCGCCTTTCCCCTCGTTTACGACGGGAACACCCACCCCCCCACCATCAGATGTCGCTGCCCCTTCCAAACAGCGACTGGCAAGCTTGTCGATGTCCTCAGGCAGGTTGAAACACCCCGAATCTGCCTGAAGTATTTCCGATTTGATTTCGACGGGAAGAAAAAACATACGGATCCTGATATGGCTAAGGTCGCATCCTGTGCACCCAACCTACACACCGGACTTGTTGCCACAGAAACGATAATACCTTTTTCCAACCGCCGCACACTGCTGCTCTAGGGTTTATTAGCATTGTGACATGTTGCTTCGAAAGGCTTATGTAAGTTTTTCGTGCCGACCAAGTCCGTGGTTCCAGTTCCATTTCGAATAAGTATGGCGCCGTGGTGACTAAATAGTGCTCACCTCCGGGATGGGATTCAGCTTGAAACCGGCGAAGGGGTCGGGAATACTGGCGCCCAAGGAAACCAGACCTTGAACCTCTCGGGCAGAGACGCCATTCTTCCACGCCTCCGTACCTCCCTCTCTCTTCGCGAAAAAAACATCGATAGAGTCTTCGATGGTGGCCAAGACCGCCTTGTTTCGATCGTCCATGGGCTACTTGCGTACCCGTTCGGG